TATACCAAAATTACCCTGTCTGTGCAATTTAGTTTTTTAAAGAACCTATCAATTGTCTAAGTAAGTAATGTAAAGTTTTATTTACATAATGGACCCATTCACTAGATTAAAAGGACTATTCATAACTATAATATACAACCTACTGCATACAAAATATGACAAATCTTATCACTAACGAAAGACCTGTAGTTTTCCAAAAGATATATTTACACCCACTAGCACAAGAGGTCTAGACACAATACCAAAACACCCACCATTTATAAGCCTAGTCTAGCTATGGATTATTTCTCAAAATGCTAAAATGAAAAGGAAGGCATAGCACAGTGACCGAGCCGCTGCTAATTAAAAAAAATCTAAAGAAATAAAACGAATGCAATTTACATTTGATTACAGCACTGAGTTTCCAGAAATGGCTTTTAAGACATTATTAAAGCTGTAATTCCAAAATAAGTGCTTTTAATCCATGGAAACACAGGCTAAGAAATCTATTCTTAGCATTTAAAAGGAAACAAAATTTGAAGGAAATTTGTCTAGAAAGTAATCTCAGTGACGTTTTCATGATCAAAGTTGACAATAATTAACTTAATGCACATTGTGCAGTGAGAAATTAGCTGACTGAAATTTAAAAGTTATAACAAACTCTGCAAATTGTTCTGATAATGGTTGTACTTTTTTTAAAATAGAGGGACATCCAAAACCGCCAGAGGTGGGATCAGGTGCCATAGAGGAGTGAGCATCACCTTAGGTCGGTCAAGCCTTGCCATCATCAGGAGAAAATGTGAAAAATCAGTAGACAATGATCTTCATCAGTTTGTCCTTGTCTTTTGTCCCCATAAATGAAGTTTAGAGAATAAAAAAATGTATGGGAACATTTCTGTGTGCTTTGAAAAGCAAATACATGCTATGTTTAAGTTTGAGAAGTATTTTATTCATATATTTATTCATTTAAAATATACAAAAGTACTAGTATACAATGAACATGGATTGAACAGCAGGCAATATTGGGCTATATTTAATTCTAACCAAAGCAAATGCAATACTTTGATGTCCACCAAATACATAAATGTTTTAATTCAACTACAAAAATATAATTATTGCATATTTGGCATGCATCTATTTCTCGGATTCAAACATTCAACAATATTAAATGACAGTAGACATGTCATTTAAAGATAAGAATAAAGTATAAAGTTTAAGTTTGATTTTGTTTCACGTACAGAATGAATTAATAGCTACCCGAGTTAACTGTACAATCTGGTTTAAAACAGTTTACGCTTTATAAACTGCAAAGCGGATCAGAAAAAAATTCGAAAACTGGTCAAACCTATGTTATACCAGTATAACTTGTATAGTTATTAAATTCATTCCTTATAAGTTAAATTCCTATCATTAAATGTAGACAATAGGATTGATGTTCGTTAAAAAGTGCCCTCCAGTTGATTATATTTTAAAAGTGACATCAAGCGGGGTAATTTAAACTATCCTAAAATTACACGTATGCAATTATACCGTCAATGGCTCTTCAAGCTATGATTAAGATGGGTTTCCGGAATATCTATAGATTTATTTTCTTGGTATAGGGAATAGTACATATTCTTGAAAAAATTGTACCTTCATACATTCTACACCTTTTATTTTTCATCACTTACATATTGTGTCATGTGATTTAATCGAATAGAATGATTATTATAATGGACTTTTAAGCTTAAATTCTGTCCGTTATCTGTATATATTTAATCTATTCTTCAAACTCGGGCATATTTGTAGCAATTGAATTTGTAATATGACACTCTGCATTTACACATTACATCAGTGAATTCAGTATTAGTTTTGCATTAATTATTTCTGTCTCAACTAATGAGAGCATTCTTTTAATTTTATTTACAGCGATAACTCATCAAAATGAAAATAAAAAGCTCTAAATTCGTCATTCTAGTCAATATATTGTTTTTTTTCTCCGTTACAAAATATGCATTAATTCAATAAGGAAGTTTAAGCATCAAAAATTGCGTTATACTCTGCAAGTCAAAAGCAATGAAGTTCCCATCAAGTGTCATTTTATTAAAATAATCATCTTTTAAGGCAAAATTTATTAAGATTATTACTAGTATCTGATTATAAAAACAATCTGTACTTTATCAAGTCTAGAAAAATATTTCAAAAAGAACCTTCTCTATTGATTTGTAGAAAACACATTTTTTTGGTTGCCAAGGTTATTTATGTGACATTAAGCTCTAGTTTTGTTTTGAAAAAAAAGAGCTGAATTTGCTAGCGAAAAAGATTTAGATTCAGAGAAATGGTATTGAATGAATTAATATATTGTTTCACAGAAAGAAACGTTTTCCCCTGGGGATTCAATCACCAATACAATGATCGTTCAACATTATTCGGTAACGTCTTTATTTTTTCGTTGTAATGAACACATTATTTGAATAAATAGTAGACATTTGTATTCCTTCTAAGGGACTTTTCCTTGTTTAATGTGAAGCCACAGGGTTTTGCCATGCGTTCATTTCATCATCATTTATCAAATGAAATAAATGTTTAATATTGATAAGATAAATACCAGAGGCTCTAAATACATCAATCAGTATTTAAGGATTCTTCGCTACCTTTCGTATTCCCCCTTCAACATAGGAACGAGGTTTCTTCGAAAACTGTAATGTCTTTTTAATGATTTAGTGTGTTTAATGATGATAAAGCACTCACTGATTTATTTTTTTCTGATTTCCTTAAAAATTAAATGACAATCTTACAGGAAGTTAAAACGGGTTAATATGTACATCATTTTCTAAATTGGTTCAATTTGTGCTTTGATTTTTTTGTTCCTTTTAATAATATTTTAGTAAATAATGTTTTAAGATACTTCTTCATTTAATTATTATACATGTATATCAAAGTCAGGTATAGATCAGCAGGAGCACAAACAGAGAAAGCATTTCTTGTCGATCAGTGAGTTCTATGTATTGAACAGGTACCATTTTTACGCAATTCCCAATGTTATGCACGTACAACAAACAAGCGAACCGACTAGGGATGAGTGATTTTAATAAGTAATAGTTATCAGCTGTAATCGATTATAGTTTGATGTATATTATAGTATTCATGCATTTTTCTGATATCAAGTTATAGTGATTTATAGTACTGTCAAAAAGTCTTGCAATCATAATTATAGCATTTTGATAAAAAAAACTAATTACAATGGTCAAAAAAGTGCATAAAATTATATTTTTTCAATAATGTTATTATTTTTCATTCTGCAAATGATTAAATTAGTTAATATAACAATAAATAATAGTGAATGAAAATATTATACATTTATTGCATGATAGTGAGGGAAATATGAAGACTTATTCAGCCAAGAAAAATCATATGATATTTCTTGGCTGAATAAGTCTTCATGTTTCCCTCACTATCATGCAATGAATTGTTTATTATACCGAAACAAGCAAAACCTTTGAAATAAACATAAACTTTCAAATTCGGCACCGCTCTCAAAGTCACTTTCAATTTTTACGTAAAGTTACTTTGAAACCCTTTGTTCAACACATTATCATCAGTTTTGTGACGTAAACCAGGATATTTCTCTCGGGAGTTTTCGTTCAACGAACGAGAACTATATTGCGGGAAAATACACTAGGTGTTCCGAAGAAGTGGAATATGATGAAAAGCGTGTCGACGGCCGGGAAATATGAAGTTTTATGGCCCGATCACGTGATAACTTAGAACCAATCAGATAACGCGTTGTTTAGAATATTTATAATGAGGTATAATAATACTATTTCAATCTTAATTTATAAAACATTGTCAATATATGTGAATGTTGAATTAAATGCCACCGCAAGTATTTACCTCTTCTGATGTAGAAATGTTTGAAAACATTCTGCTTTATATGGATAAAAGAAATGGTCATCCAATAAAAGAGCGCAATTACTGCCAATTTGAATTCCATTAGTGAAGTTTGTTGGTAATCTTGGTATCTTGTCATTGAATCCTATTTTAGCTGATTTGTTTCATATAAATTCTTAGGTCTTTGTTTTACAAGTATATTAAATTTGACTACGGTATATTCCATCTACTCGACCAATACATAAGGCTAACGGCGGGTGTGACTGGTCAACAGGGGACGCTCACTCCTTCTTGGCACCTAATACCACCTCTGATAGTCTCGTTGGTCCTTGTTTTTGTCCAGTTAACAGATTAGTATTGTTCGTAGATTTTTTAGATTGATCAGTTAAAATTAACTTTTTTCATGTTTTCATTTTTACTCATTCTCACACAACTTTTGAAATAAAGAAGCCAAAAAGCAAAGAAAAAAAATAAACACATTATAATTATTACTTTTTCCCCAGTGACTCCGAGTGTATTCAAATATTTTCTTACCTGAAACACTAGTACAAGTACATGTACTGCTGAACGGTTGAAGAACGGAATTATTTTCCCCAAATGATAGATCAAACTTTCTTACATTTAAGCATCGTCGCAAACCACGGCCAAAATTTACGATCCTCTCTCATTCTGATGAGACCTATACGTGCGGACTCTTGACCGTGGCTTGAGACGGTGGCATTTTAGATGGATAATTTTTTTTTGCGGTCGCTTAAAGTATGATAGTGGTAATGACTTTGAAATATTATGCAAATCAATGAAAATTCATGTCAGATCCATGCACGGAAACACTTGTAATAGTTTAAAGGAATGAAATATAATTAACGTCCTTCTCAGCAATTAGATTACATTTGATTAAAAAAATTGTCATATGTAATCCATTTTAAACAGCCATGAACAATTATCGTGTGATCTCATCTAGCAATTTTCATGTATTGCCCTACTTTCATTATCATATAATTTTGCTAACAATTTTTTTTATTATCATGCAGTGAAACAACTTGGAGATTCACAAGACACAATACAATACAATACAACAAAGGAGTGTTCACCTGATGCTTAAATTGAAAAAAAAATAAAGAACATCCATTGATCTGAAATCTTAGTATTTTCCAATTTTCAGAATGTGCATGAGCAAGGCTCCTTCTGAAAACAAAAAAAACATGTTATTTTTGAAACAATTCTAATAAATCATTTAAAAAGTCTTTATAAAGCTTTATCATATAGCTAATAAACAGTTTTTAATTAACATTGCGTAAAGTCTAAAAAAAAAAAAATAGAGTTCAATATCGTGTTCTTTTTTTGAACGCTGAGTTCGCAATGCGTATACCTCACAGGCACCTGACGTTACTTATTGTATTATTAGGTAGGGGTATATTTATTTTATCAAAAGAAAAATAAGTCAGGCCAGGTGCCTGTGGTATACGTGAATGCAGAACTATTCCGAATACAAGTGTTCAACATCAAACTCTCTGTTTTGAACAAAACATTTTGTCTACTTTCACTGAAGATATTTAAGATTAATTATGGTAATTAGGTTAGATATATATTAATTTCATGCAAATCTGAAATGATTAATAAAGAGATATTTAAAACCTCAATAAGAAAATAACAACGCTTTGCATAGTTCATAGAATTATGTCAGAATATAATCAACACTTTCAGGTCAACGCTGATTTTTCACAGTTTTTATCTAAACTTGAAAATTTCTTTAACTTTTAGATATTTTATTTAAATAATTATCAAATATCAAAGGAAAACATTTCTCATAGTACAATTAAGTTATTAAACATATTGATGATTATAGCTACAATTTGCTCGAGCTAGTGAGTTAAAACAATTTTTTTTTTGCAAATTTAAATCAATTTTACAGCACATTTTCTTTCAGAAAACATAGAGCACAAGCTTTGCCTGTGTAACAAATTTATATATTTACTACACTAGTATCAGATGCACCTTGTGTGTAAAAATTTTAGAAAGGCAAGCTTGTGCTGTTGTTTTAATTAAGTAAACGAATAAATTTGACAGAAATTCAAAAAATTGCTGAAAATCCGATCTAACGTCAACTTTTATTTCAAAAAGGATAATGTTCCTGGAAAATGTAGCAAAAATTTCCTGACTGTAAACGTAATTTTTGTTGATAACAAGTTATATTTCGTTTTTTAACTTTTAATGAATAATAAAACAAATGTTTGTATATATGTCGTACATGTAATATACCTTTGCCAAAAGCCATAAACATTGGTCCCCCAGACAATGATGATTCCATCATTATTTTGCTGCAAAGATTAGCCTCTCTGTTTGCTTTGAATCAAAATTAGTGCTGGTTTGTCTTATTTATCATAAAGTTTAGTTTTAGTTTCCATTTATGTTTTTTTCTAGGACTAAAATCAAGTACTAGTATATAATGTCTCTAATTATATTAATTTTTCACCTTTTCATATTACAAAATAAAATCAAAATGTGTGGTGTTTTCAAGATAATTTTCAAATCACTTACCAGTTTAATTTTGCATATGTAATAGTTTTTCTGGGAACAGCTTCCCACGTGCCAATGAAAATGATATGTTTTCCAGAAGATTGCACACAAATAATCGCCTTTCTTCTTATAAACTGGCTCGAACCCATACCAGTCAAAGCCAAAATTTCGTTTTCCGGAAAATCCCCAATACCACTTATGTTTTTGTGGGTACAGAACGGTGTTTAGTCCCATCCATGCTCCTCTTGTAACTATAATACATCGTGTAATTGAAATTAATACATATATGTATTTCCATTTCTTTTTGTTTTCTCTGTGATAACTTTGAAAGTATAGTATACAATGGTATACCTGAGGTAATACGTACTCTTGTATGCATTGAGTTGGTTTATAATGTAGGTGTTTTCAGGAGAACTTTCCACTGTTGCCAGAAAGCCACCAAGATTGAAACATTTCATCTGAAATATAAAAGTCAGTAATCTCTCTCTCTCTCTCTCTCTCTCTCTCTCTCTCTCTCTCTCTCTCTCTTATATATATGGCTTATATAACAACCAGTTCGAAAGAATATCAATTATTAAAAATGTAAAGATATGTTAACATACTAGTATTCTATCTAAGGAACTCAATGTAAGATATGACAAGTTAAAAAACGACTTCTTGACATCACGCCTGATTTTTAAAAATTACGTCAAATTGGAATTCATGCATATGCCACTGATATTGCAACTAATGTCAATTATGAGCAAAAAAAGTTTTAAAAATTGGTCTTGTATATGACAATTTACGCAAACATACTTATTTAAGCAGACACAAATTAATGATGTGTAACTTAGAGAAATTCGGCTATGCGTACGCAAAGGCTAATGGACTTGGGAATTAGTGTCTCCGTCTGTGAAAGGTTATAATGATTAATGGTTCTGTTACTTACTGATGCAAGATACCAATTTAGGCGATCTCTGCTGAAGAGATAGCAGTTCCCGTCATACTTGTGCCAATAGGGTGGACAATCATCCTTCTTGATGTGATCGTCTTCATATTTAAATATCTTGTACTCTCCGACAATGGTGTAATCCTTGGGCATATTGTCTTCTGCTTTTGTGTATGTGACATTGGTCTTTGATTTACTTTGAGTATTGTTCTTATTTAGATCTGAGGTGTCCGCATGAATTCCGATGACATGAATTTCACTTTTCTTTCGTGGCTTTCCTGACTTGATTTGTGTACCATTTTTAGATGTTGACTGTTTTGGTTTGGAAACAAACTTCTTTCCACGTGTTTTGCCTTTGGCGGATTTTGGCTTTCTGTCTTTGGCAGATGTTGGAATTGTTGGTTTTGATACCCCTTTCTTCTTTTGAACTACCGGTACACTTGCAGTATGTTCAGGGGTACTTTTCACAGGTGCAGCAGTTGTCTTTACATTTGTTGGATTTTTAGTTTTGGAAGATTTCAAGGCTGCAGTCTCTCTACACTCTGTTTGCAAACATTTTTTTTAATAATAAAAATAAATTCTCCTGATCTTTAAGATTACACGTTATTAATTTTACTGTTGAAAATGTCGTCCTTTATTATAATTTGATTCAACATAATTACCTTCAATGATTGCTAGAGAAAGAACCAACAAAAATGCTAATAGTCGCATTTTTTGTAAGATATTATCCTTTTATTTTGCAGCAGAATACTCACACATTTGATTTGCTTTTGTCATAGTGTTTTGTTGCAGAAACGCCTTAAAAATCTTTTGTACATGTGACATGTCTTTCGACGAACTCTGAACACAGTAAGATCTAATCAATACAGGGTTGGACAACTTCTTCTCTGACACGGGTTTTGTGGATCCTAAAGGATTCATTTCCATGTAAATCTGTAATACAACTAATCACAACTGCAATTTTAGCATTTTTTCTGGAAGGTACATGTAGATTAAGCAAATGAAGCATGTAGGTGGGTATATATAAACACACAATTCTAATACGAGGAGAACCACGGTAATGATGATGAAGCCTATCCTTCTTATAGGTCTTGTGGCTGTGGGCTTCGCCAGTAAGTGAGCAAAGCGAGTTTTGTTTATGCACTCTAGTATTAACTTTATAAATATTATATATACAATATAACTAAACCGTGTGAAGATCAATTGAAATCTGATTCATACATTATACCAATTTAATTCTTTATAACTTTTAGTTACAAATAACAACCAGTGCGTTTCTGGCTTGCATTAAGGGTCAGGATCCAAAACAATTTAACTATAATCGGTGTTAGATTTGCATATTTCATTTTATTTTTTCAGGTGCGCAGTTCGGCGGCTACGACGAAGGATTTGGAGGTCAATAAATCTTAAAAATAGGCATATGCCTCTCCCTCACTCTTTCTCTCTCTTTCTCTATTCTTCCATCAATATCTAGAGGTTCGCATATTACATTTCATTACAAGAATTGTTTGTTTATTAAAAAATTCATATTTTCGGTCAGGTTTTAACGAAGGACCATCTTCGTGTAAAAACACTCAGTTCTGGAATGGAGAAGCCTGTGTAGCACGTATGTTCTTTTTAAACAGTTAACTTGATTAAGAATAATTTCGAAACTTTTTTAATATAACCGCAAGGTTATAGCATTAAAGTAAACAACCCTTTTAATTGCATTGCCATATGCATGCATGTGGTACCATTTATTTTCTCATTGAAAAAGATGTTTTTCTTTTTGTTACATTTTTTGCTTTATGTAAATTGATAGATCTATCATATGGAAAGGCGTGTGCCTTGGCCGCCTACAAAGGTCACGTGTGTGGAGCAACCCTGCGGTGTAAAAAGAACTGTGTCTGTTCCCCCGGATATTTCTGGAATGGAAAAATTTGTCACAAGTGTAAATATTGACTCACAATTTCTACAAAGATAATTCCTTAAGTTTTGTTTGGAAAATCAAGTAACATAATTTAATCACTGTGAAATATCAACTAGATGATATGTAGAGTCGGAAAAATAGATCTTGTCCAATATGTATTGTTATACTTATTCCTCGCATTTTTTAATACTTTATCTTAAAATTTAAAATCATCTGTCCGTATTTTGAGTGCAAGTGCTTTATGAAAAAATAATAATTAATGCTAGGAAACCGTGGTATTTCTTCTGGTTATATCGCTAATTTTTGGATAAATCTACGGGTTATATCGATATCTGTTAGTTTTAGTAAATTTCCGGGTTATATCGGTTAGTTTTAGGTAAATCTACGGGTTATGTCAGTTAGTTTTAGTAAATCTACGGGTCATGTCGGTTAGTTTTAGGTAAATCAACTGCTTAAATCGGTTAATTTTAGGTTAATATACTATCAATTTTCGGAAAATCTGCGGTTATATAGGTTAGTTTTACGTAAATCTACGGGTTTATATCGGAGAGTTATAGATTAATGTATTTGTTTTATCGGTCAGTTTTACTGTACTGTCTTTCTTGGTTAGTTTTAGGAGATGTCGGTAAATGTACTGGCTATATCGGTTAGTTTTAGGAAACGGTGGTAACTGTACCGGCTATGGTGGTATATGCACTGTCTTGATCGGTTAGTTTTAGGAAACGGTGGTAAATGTACTGGCTTTATCGGTAAATGTACTGTCTTCATCAATTAGTTCTAGGAGACATCAATAAATTTAATGTCTTTATCGGTTAGTTTTAAGAAACTGCGGTTAATATATTGATTTTAGCGGTAAATGTACTGTCTTTATCGGTTAGTTTTAGGAGATGTCGGTAAATGTACTTTATCGGCTATTTATCGGTTAGTTTAGTTTTAGGAAATGGCGGTAAATGTAAAAGCTATATCGGTAGATGTTCTTTTTTGATGTTGTTTTAGTGTATGTACAGTAAATGTCTTTATCGGTTAGTTTTAGGAAATGAGGTGTCCAGCTATATCGGTAATTTACTGTCTATAGTTTTAGGTAAATGTAAATATACTGTCTTTATCAATTAGTTCTTTATCGGTTTATGTACTGGCTTTATCGGTTAGTTTAGGGAAATGATGGTAAATGTACAAGCTATATCGGTAAATGTACTGTCTTGATCGACTAGTTTTAGGAAACGGCGGTAAATGTACTGGCTTTATCGGTAAATGTTTTTATCGGAAATGGAAATGGCGGTAAATGTACAAGCTATATCGGTAGATGTTCTTTTTTGATCGGTTAGTTTTAGGAAACGGCGGTAAATGTACTGGCTTTATCAGTAAATGTACTGGCTTTATCGGTTAGTTTAAGGAAATGATGGTAAATGTACCAGCTATATCGGTAATTGTACTGTCTTGATCGGTTAGTTTTAGGAAACGGCGGTAAATGTACCGGCTATATCGGGTACAAGGGACGAGTGTGTGGTGGTAATCTCCGATGTCTGAAGGGAAAATGTGGATGTAAATCTCCACTGATCTTCAAAGGCGGCAAATGTGTAACAAGGCCTAAACGTGAGTAATATCTGCCCCGAAACAATTTTTTGAGTGTATGCTCAGTTTGTCATACTGTAGAAATAGCAATTTTCGTATGTATGCCTTTTACTAACTCCTTGGAAGTGATAGTCTGATAATGAATATATTTAAATCTTCACTGATGAAAAAGAATAAATATATTATGATTTATTTCTGTTTTAACTGGTTGAGAAATGTAATAATTTTTTTTTTGTGGTTTTGTTTTTTGTTTTGTTTTTTTGTTTTTGTTTTTTTTAACATTATTAGCATATTAATCAATACAAGCACCTTGACAAAATTGTATATTGAATTTGATAGCTTTCCCCATTTTCTTTTTAAAAAATCAAATAAGCAATATATTTCTGAATCGATTTCCGTTTTGCCTTCGAGAACTGGTTCGGTGATCAAATTAGATCAATTATAACTTATTTTGTAGCGTCATGTATTGTGTAAAAACCTTCACAAAATTTTTATGCTCATTTGAGCTTTTAAGCTCATGAAAACCAAAACAATTAAGTTAAATTATTTTTTATATACTTAATACTACATATAGATGAGATCAAACAGCAAGACTTTCCAAACAAATACAACGATATATTTTCAAATATAAAACCATAAATTCATTCCTTATTACAGTTATCTGTTTTCTAGATGTAAGGATTCAGCGTTTACAAATCTCCTCAGCGAAATTCTGAAATATTATGCAGAACATTATTGCAAATGGATCTTTTCCGAAACCTTTATGTGCTCGTGTGTCATAAAAACTATAAAACAATCATAAATAGGAAATCAAAATTACAATATTCATGAGATTTCCAAAGAAATTATCATTTTACATCAGAAACATTTTTATGAGTTATTGAGTTGTAGCGGTTTTGTCAAAAGTTCTGATGTAATTATCTTTTCTTGATATAATTTATTTTTCTTTACACAGTCAACATATATTGCAAGATTTCAAATAATACAATATACTTTATGTTCTGAGAAATATTAGCCTTATGAAAAACGCAACTGTTCTTTGTTGTTCCAATTACAACAACAACAAAAAAGACAAGCATTAATTGTTAGCGATAATTTACCTTTTAATAAACAAAATAATGATAATAAAAAGCAATACTTCATATACCTTGTAGTATTTCGAGATTTATGTTTAATTGAATTCTCATATGTTCCTTATCTTCACATTACTTTTTCGAAAGTTTCATTATTGTCGAGTTAGCAATGTGTGTTGTTGACTTCGGCTTCTATATTTGAGATCAACATTTTGTGTTCTTCTTTGGATCAAGGTTTCGTATCTTCATCTTCTACATTTAATGTTAAAAGCAATGTCACAGAAACCCCTCCTAAAACCTTCATCACATCTTCGCTAGCCAAGGGTTTTCGATCCGAAATAGAGTAGATTTCGGACTGGAAACCCTTGGCTAGCGAAGATGCCTTCATCATGGCTAACTTGATTATGTAATTTTATCTTTGTGCAGTTCCTCCATCATATGAAGGTGGGGGATTTGGCGGTGGCAGCGCCTATGGCGGCGGGGGACATCATGCTGGGTATGGTGCTGCTCCAAAATACAGCAGTTTTGGTTACGCGGCAGCCAAGGTGCGCGCTGGAGGATGTCCTTATGGTTGGAGTCCGTATCATGGAAGCTGTTATTACTTCAGTCGAGACAAGCTGTCATGGTGGCAAGCTGAGGTAAAATTTTATTGATTTGGATTTCAATTTTAATCCATACCAATTATACATTTCTTTCACATCATTACTCCTTTTTAGCTCACATGAGCCTTTTAGGTAGGTTGTGAGTTCCGTCGCAACAATTTTTGCATCCAGCGGCACTTGGCAACGGACACAGGTTTCTAGAGGTGTTTTTTAAAAATAAAATTTATCTCTAGTTTTTCCTGGCCGGCGCTGATGCTTTTCACACAATTTTTTTTACACAATATATAATAGGATTATAATAGATGCAGCAGTTTTAGGGAAATTTGATGTTTTGTTTCTTCATACACAATGTCCTGTTTGATATACATTGATGTAATGTTTAGTGGAGACTGTCAATAAAATACGGCGTCCAGCGCACGCACGGCTGGCTGTCATGCATAGCATGTTGTTGTTGTTTATGTTTGTATAAAAGTAATGGAGTGAATAGGTAAACTTTTCAAGACTTAGATGATTTGTATTTTTTAACTAACCCATGTGCTCACGTGAGCGATGTGGCCCATGGACCTCTTGTTTTATTTAGAAATTCTGAATACAAAATACGAGATAGCGTACCTCCGTTATCTAATTCCTGGTGCAACAGTACAAATTTTGAAACCAGCTCTTTTTTTCCACAGATGAAATGTGCCAGTCAGGGAGGTTATCTTGTTATCGTGGATGCAGCTCATGAAAATTCTTTCATCCGACGCTATTTGGCTGAATACAGAGGTGAGTCTAAATTTCTAAAAGATTAAGATCGCTTTGTCTTTAAAAATTGTATTCATTTTACACAATTGTCCATCAATCTTGCGCTAAAGGAAAGAAAGATTTCAAATCTTGTGAAGAATAAATAAAAAGTTTTTTGAAAATCATACAATAACTTAAACCTCGAATGTATTATTAGGAAAAACTTCAAAATTGTAATTTTCTTCCAACATTTACAGTAACTGGTGGAGCTTGGTTCGGTCTGAACGATTGTCTGTTCCCAAACAAACACCGATGGATCTGGGGATTTAGCAAGAAGAGGTGTCATAAGTTTGACTGGTACGGTCAGGAACCAGTTTATCACGCCAAAGGAGACTGGAATTGTGGTGCATTCTGGGAAAGTTATCAGTATCACTGGCATGTTGATAGCTGTGCCCAGAGGAATTACTATGTCTGCGAAATGAAACTGGTATTGTTTGACATTTTACTTCATTATCACTGATACATTGAAAAGATTTTTGAAAGTTTCAAAAATCCAATTTTACATACATTGTAATGCTTTTTTCTTCGCTGGAGGTTTATTTATTTTTTGTATTGCAATATATGTATAATTTTGTGATTTTCCCTTTTCTTTTTCAGGGCAAACCTTGCAGATGTCAATATTAGTCCATGTACATATATTTGTTATAAATGTGTCTGTTTTTATAAATGGTTGTTGTTTGATTTTAAACAGATACACAGAAATACACACACCTATATATACTAGTATACTACCTCGCATGCACGCATACCTATACATATACGTGTACCTTTCCAGATAGTTAACTACAATGACGCCTCGTTGAGAAGAACTGCTTTGTTTCTTCATATGTACTCCAAATTAATGAGGCATTAGTTTTTAAAGATGATTTTACAACTATTCATAAGGTTTTCAAATCGAAAAAAGTGCAACAATCTTATCTTTCATGAACAGATGAAGATAAGATCCTGTGAATAAGCAAATTTTTGGACCATACAAATAAAACTTGAAAAATGTTATTGATGATATTGACTAGTACATATTAACAATTAACACATATGTATATTCGATATATTCCTTTGAACTTGAAATATGCATGTTTCGAGTAAGATCAAATTTTAAACCGAAGAGGTTATTGATAGATAAGTTGATTTTACAGGTATGTCAACAAACTTGTCTAACGTGAGCATTTTCTAAATTCTGTGGTCATTATAATGAGTTTGTTGGCAACTATAGCTTGTTTTTGATAATAATATGGTGGAATGTGATCAATAGAAAATGCTTCCTTTGATCATAGCAAGGAGCACACGGCGGGTGTGACCGGTCGGCAGGGAATGCTCATTCCTCCATGACACCTGATCCCACCTCTGATGTTGTGGAGGCCTGTGTTTGCTTTGCTCCAATTTTGTATTGTTTTATGGACTTTTGATCTTGGATACTGTTCGTTATCTCCATATGTTTCATTCTAGGCACCCGATCCTACCCCTGAAGTGTCGGGAGTTTTTACGCTCCATTTGCAGATTGATTTATATTGGGGTTTTTTTTTTTTACTTTCAAGCTTGGTCAATTTTTCATCAAAACACTTCCCAATGGTTTAATCAATGCAAATATATACACTGTATTTCTTTAACAGTCCAGTATATATCATTATCTGACATTACTTTGCTCATGGATGTGCCGTTTTTCTGATGCTAAACAATATATATTAAGAGAAGTTATAAATTGTGCTAGTTTCTTACTTATGAAAATACGAGATACAGGTTTAAATCGTTCTGCGTTGTGTTATTGGCAAACTTGGAATGCTTCCTCCTCTAGGGCACCTAATTCCACCTAGCGAATTGTTGTGGGTCCGTGTATTTTGCCCTGTCACAAAATTGAACTATTTGAAAAAAAAATTTAAAGACCGATCATAGTTCTTGTCGTTTTTTTTAAATGACTGTTCATGAAAATATACAGCAGTAGAGTGCCAACATGGAAAAAAAATTAAAACTGTACAAAAAGCAAACCTGAAGAAATTTTTTCACGATGTGGGCTCTTTTAGTTCTAGTGGAAATCCATCAATTCAAAATTCAATACATCGGTGGCGTATTGTCAATAAACAATTATAGTTACTTTCATTCGTTTGTTGATTAGATTATCTTAGTGAACTTGAAATAAAAGAAACCACGGCGTTTGCCATATCTTGTTTCACTATCTATAGTCGACAAAGGGTTACTAATAACTAGATTGTATGAAAAAGGTAATGACTTCAAGTTTACAATCGTCAAATTTCCTTATTTATGTACTACTTTCACCAGCATACATGTATGATGTTTAAATCTCCCAAGTTGACTTATTCGATACTACAGAACATGCTCTTATGAACTTATTAAATTCTATTTACTCTATATATAAAAAATAATTCCATTTTTGTATTGTCTCAGTGGCTTTAGCCTTGCAGAAACAAATGTCTTTAATCAGAAGAACAACTCGCACTGAGATCATTAGTGAGATATGAGATTTCTTTTCTTTTTTATTACCGTACTGTTGCCAAGAAAATTTCCTGTTCCTATATATTGAAGGTCTGACAGGCCATAAGTTTCCAGGAAGTTTTCTGAACAGCGTGATCATTTTTCTTTTCTTGTCAATTATTTGGTATAAAATATATGGAAAAGTGGACTGTGGAACTACTTTTATTACTAGTATATGAAGGAATTGTTTGAAAAGGGTATAATCTAAAGTGCAAAGGTTTGGTGAATTTTTAAATTTAACAAAATTAAAAGAAAATATACTAATTTAAACAATAATGTTGATACATTATGTGAAAAATATTGTTTATAATGTTAATGCATTTATAACATGATAATTAACGTTAAAACATTTTTGTGACGTCACCTTGTGTTAAACCTGGTTCAATAAATTTGTTATTATCCTGCACCCCGTCCAAGTTACCTGTAAAAAAGTTTTTTATTGGACAGGTACAGGTAACATTTAAATGAGAACAATTACAGCTTAAAAGACAATCATATAATACAAAATTATCATTAAATGTTAACATTTCACAAGAAAATGTCACAAATAATCCACAGTGAATTGAATGTCTCACATTCATTATTGAAGACTCATCCGTGGCTTCGATCATAAATTTCCTAAATTCACCGTTCATTAATGCTATATATTAGATTCATTTCACATTGATCGATCCATAGAACATATATAGAATCCAAGGGACACAAAAAATGAATGAGAAGCATGCATTTTCTTACACACAACCTTGGGCTTTTTGCTTATTTAAATATCCACTTTTTCCGCATTTAGCACAAAATTTCGCTGAAATTCCCACCTCTATTTTATGTTTTTCCATGGCCCGCGTTGTTTTAGCAAGTGTCTGTCGCTGTTTTAAGGGATGGCTGGAGTAAAATCCTTCCGAGTTCGAAACCTGCACACAAAAGAGTAATCGTTGCATTTAAAAAAATCATCAGAAATGATCTCCCAGTTTGATAGAAAATGCTTATACAGTGGTTGGAGTAAAATCCTTCAAATCTTATTGCTTTACAAAAATTACCTGTTAACAGAAACTGTTTCTTGATTATATATATGGTAGAAAACTTGAACTGAGGCATCTTGGTGTAATGTAAATAAGCAAAACTGCTGAGGTCTTTTTTCAAAATTAAAATTTTCATCATGTGCATAATCAAATATTTTAAAAGATTTAAAGATAAATCCAAAAAGATTTTTATGTTCATATTTATGTTCATAATGCAAACCGCATTTTAAAAAAATATATCTTGGCAAATTATAAAGGTTTACATGTAAAGTATGAATGGGCACTATATATTCTAAGAAAATAGTATCATGCCAATACATGTACACATGTAGTAAACAACAAATTTTCTAGATCTCATTTTCTAACATTCAAAATTGAAAGCAGAAATAAAGTAAAGTACTTTTAGTAAGCAGAAATATGATAGTTTAATTTATAAACCGCAATTTTTAAAAAATATAAGGGTTTACATGGAAAGTATGAGCCAACAGACAAATTATTGGGCATCTATTTATTTTAAATCAGAATAATGAAGAATGCAAAGGTAATTATTATTGATTCTTAAAAGAGATAAAGTCTCCTTTCTTTGTGTAAATTAACATAACTCTTTAACATAAGCACTGGAACATATATTTTTCCAAGTGATTTACAACAAATAATGATTTCCCTGTGGCCTTTCTCAAAATATAAAGATGGATTTAAGCTACCATCAATATTCTGAAATACCATTCATATGTATGGTGTGTAACGAATATTGCCAACAAAAACAGAGTAAATTATGCCTATTTGGCTTTCTTTTTTGAAGTGTTATTTAGAGTGTTATAAGGTTAGAAGAGCTTTGTTTTTTTTTTCGAAAGAAATTGTTTTGTAGTGTTGCATATATTGTATCAAAAACCTAGAAATGGATTTTTGCCATTTGCATGTTTTCACATATCAGAGTTCTAAATATGTTGTAAGGTAGGTAAAATAAGAGAGATTAAAAGAGGGAGAGCAACAGGAACAAAGACAAAGACAGAGGGAACAGGAAAAATTCATAATAAAAGGATATCCATTACTGCCTCAACTCTGTCTATCTTCAACTTTGTGTAAATTAATAATCATATTAAAATTAGAAACTAACTGACAAATTAAAAAAAAATCAGTGTAATAGATGAAGACAATAAACAGAGATCAATCTTATAAATGCAGTAGACTTATCAATCGTCAAAGTGAAAAAAAAACAAGGAATATGAAATCATCAAAGGTGGAATCAGGTGCGTAGGGGGAGTAAGTATCCCCTGTAGACCGGTCACTCCCAACAGGAGCTCTACGGGTAGATGGTTGCTTTGCATTCAAATTTAGCATAAAAGCAATGGCCTCACAAATGATATGAGACTTTCAATGGGGTTGTTGAAATCCTTATATCATTAACTTAATTGCCAGTCTCTTGCCTCAGCTTAAATTTGATTGTAATGTCTACATATATCCTTGTCATCGAATCAATGGAAGATATAACTACTACATGCAAGTGAAACTGGAAAATAGAAACTTGACAATGGAAAAGCTGAAGCCATCTCTTTTGTCCTACATGATAGTTATTAATTTGTGATTTATATCGTCTTAAGTCCGCAAAAAGTCTATATAACAAAGATGTATGGCATATTTTGAGTGTGTATTTCATTTTGAGTTCAGCAGGACATTTTAGAGTCATTTGAATAAAGTAACTAATGTTAATTGATAATACATCGTCGATATATCTAAGTGTTTAGTAAAAGGCCACAGCTACAGTTTAAATCTTCTCGTGTAGAATTTTTTTAAATTTAATTCTGCTTTAGTGGAATTTAAACTCCAGTCGACTAAGAATTAAAAATATAAAATAATTAAAATTCCAGCAGTTTGATAGAAAACCTGCTCCTCATAAGATCATAGACTATATACTGATATTGTCACAATAATGAACCCCGGCATTCTTTAATATCAGTTGCAGATTATTGTACTTCTAATAAGTATAAGAATGATTTTAGGGTCGATTTGTAGATGACCAATTACAATATATAAGAATTAACGAAATATTCCGTTTCTTTTGAGAAAACGGTTATCATCAATGCACAAAAAGCCCTTTATTAAATAAATTCTGTATGATGATCGTAAAGCGTAGTAAGGTCGTATGTTTTGGTGGTAAGTTACTAGTATGTTCGTTTTTTGTTTGTTTGTTTGTTTGTTGTTTTTTTTTTTTTGAGAATTTTATGGGTTTTTTTTTTTCAAAAGTTCTTTGGAGTTTCCTACATACATTTCTGATTTGGATCACTTCTTGAATATTTTTTGACACTATGAATTTAATATACATCAGTAATAAAAAAAAAGTGTCTTGCAAAGATATTCCCTATCAATACTGTCAAAGTTACAACTTGATGATTAACATTTAGGATATTGTTTATTCGTGCAACCTATTTTATTTATAATTTGATCAAAATATTAAAAAGATTTGACTGATAGTGGCATAATTTAAATACTGTTATTGGGCTGGGCTGATATGCGGAATTAGCTTCTAACTATGTTATATCATTAGTATGCGAGTCTATGAGTGAAAAATTCTCGAGAGGGACGTTAAACAATATATAATAGAATCAATAGTATGCAAGTCTACTTGGAAGCAGTCAAAAATGCATTAAACATTTCTATAATTATTTAATGGTTATAGTGCTTACAGAGATCAGTTCACCATCATTTCCCAGCGACATTTTATCCCCTTCTCTATTAAAGCTGTAAAAGTGCTGAAAGATTGATGTACATTAAGACCAAGCGAATTTTTGCATCTTTGGATCAATATTGGGAGGATACAAACATCTCTGTGACACCAGTTTCGCGGGCCTTGTCAGCTTCACTTGTCGAAACAAAAGTAAAGAAACAGATGTCAATATAATAAAGAACAACAATCAACTGAAGGTGTCAGCATTTTAAAACATAACTTACATGCAGATTTATGAAATGAAGTGTGTAGATATGCTCATATATATTCATTGTACAAGTTTAGAAATTATCAGAATTATATACGATGTATACCGTTCTGTTCATAGGGCTTGTGATCGTGGGACTGAGCTGTAAGTGTTAATCCAGTGTAGCAATTCAAATATTATCCATAACAACAATTACTAGCAAAAGGAATCCATTTAATTAACAAAGTAACATTTCATTAATTAAATTTTTTGTAACATGTCAGCAATGTGTAAAGTGACAATCCATCATTTAATATTTTATGCCATAAATGTCAATAAATTATTATACCATGTTTGAAAACTGAAAAGTAAGAGGGTATATAGTGATCGGGATGCCCATTCAGCTGTACGAGTAGGTCCGTCCGTCTGTCTGTTACGCTTTGGGGTACCCATCTCTTATCCGCAACTCATCTTATACCACTAAATGAGATTTAATGAAACTTTCACAGAATCTTTGTAACATAGTGGCATTATTCACCTTCTATTTTACTTTATGACCAGACGCGTATTTTGGGTTTCCCGTAGTGAAACATGGACACTGCCATTCTTTCTATAGTATTGAAGAGTTCCATCTCTTATCCCCAACTCCTCCTATACCAGTAAATAAAGTGTTACAATAATAATTTTTGATTCCAGTGTGCACCTCCTATTTTACTTTTTGATGTTTGCCATTATAATCATATGGGACGCGAGGAGTAATCATTGAGTGAGCTCAGTGCTCACAGTACCTCTTGTTTTGAAAAGAGATATTTTAACCAATTATAAATTGTTTGTTACACTTTATTTCATAGGTGCTCAGTACGACTTTGGCTTTGAGGGAGGTAAAATATCTTCTGATTTTTATATACTGAAGTGAAAGTTAAGATTAAAAGTTAATTTTCTTGCATTAGACTTTAATTTTATTTTAGAAATACAAATATTAAATAAATATTTCAAACAAGTTTAAGAAAAACATTGTTACATTAACATAATATTATTTATTTCAAGGTTTTAACGAAGGGCCATCTTCGTGTAAAAACACTCAGTTCTGGAATGGAGAAGCCTGTGTAGCACGTATGTTCTTATAAGGCAGTTAATTTGATTTATTTCTCCAGAACTATTTCAATTTTTTGTATCATTGCACGGTAAGATATTGCATTTGTGCACATAAAATATACTTTTTTATTGTATTGTTATATACTTTTATATTATGGAAATTGGTAGATCTATCATATGGAAAGGAGTGTGCCTTGGCCGCCTACAAAGGTCACGTGTGTGGAGCGACCCTGCGGTGTAAAAAGAAGTGTGTCTGTTCCCCTGGATATTTCTGGAATGGAAAAATTTGTCACAAGTGTGAATATCTTTTTTATTACATTGCAATGTCGAGTGTTCAAATTCATTTCATAGTATAGAATAAGGAAGAATTATCTTGCAAGTTAAGAATATCTTTTTTTTTTTTTTACATATAATTAATATCATTCATACAAATAGATTTATGCAACGTTTATGAAAAAAAACCCAAACCACTGATATGAAATAACGAATATATTTAGGTAATGGTATTAAATGTAGTGGTCTTATCGGTTAGTTTTTGGTAAATGAACCAGCTCTATCGGTTGTAGTTTAAGAAAGGTGTTTTATTTTATCTATTAGCTTTAGGATCGTTAGTTAATGTACTTGTTTTATCTGTTAGTTTTAAAAAATGTTGGTACATATACTGGCTATATCAGTAAATGTACCGTCTTTACCGGTTAGTTTTAGGAAACGGCGGTAAATGTACCGGCTATGTCGATAATTATACTGTCTTTATCGGTTAGTTTAAGGAAACGACAGTAAATGTACTGGCTATATCGGGATATTTAATGTCCTTATCGGTTAGTTTTTGAGACGATAGTAGATGTACTGGTTTAATTGGTTAGTTTTAGGGAACAGTGGCAAACGCACCGGTTATATCGGTAAATGTACTGTCTATATCGGTTAGTTTTAGGAAACGGCGGTATATGTACTGGCTATATCGGTAAATGTACTGTCTATACCGGTTAGTGTTTAGGAAACGGCGGTAAATGTACTGGCTATGTCGGTAAATGTACTGGTTTTATCGGTTAGTTTTAGGAGACGGTGGTAATGCACTAGCTATATCGGTAAATGTACTGTCTTTATCAGTTAGTTTTAGGAAACGATGGTAAATGTCCCGGCTATGTGGGTAAAGGTACTGCCTTTATCGGTTAGTCTTAGGAAACGGCAGTAAATGTACGGCAGTAGCGGTAAATGATTGTCTTTATCTGTTAGTTTAAGGAAACGGCGGTAAATATACTGGCTATGTCGGTAAATGTACTGTCTTTATTGGTTACTTTTAGGAAACGGTGTAAATATACCGGCTATATAGGTAAATGCATTTTCTTTAGTTTTAGGGAACAGTGGCAAACGCACCGGTTATATCGGTAAATGTACTGTCTATATCGGTTAGTTTTAGGAAACGGCGGTAAATGTACTGGATATATCGGTAAATGTACTGTCTATACCGGTTAGTTAAGGAAACGGAGGTAAATGTACTGGCTATGTCGGTAAATGTACTGGTTTTATCGGTTAGTTTTAGGAGACTGTGGTAATGCACTAGCTATATCGGTAAATGTACTGTCTTTATCTGTTAGTTTTGGGAAACGATGGTAAATATACCGGCTATGTCGGTAAAAGTACTGTCTTTATTGGTTAGTTTTAGGAGACGGCGGTAAATGTTCCGGCTATGTGGGTGAAGGTACTGTCTTTATCGGTTAGTCTTTGGAAACGGCAGTAAATGTACGGCAGTAGCGGTAAATGATTGTCTTTATCGGTTAGTTTAAGGAAACGGCGGTAAATATACTGGCTATGTCGGTAAATGATTGTCTTTATTGGTTACTTTTAGGAAACGGTGTAAATGTACCGGATATATAGGTAAATGCATTTTCTTTATCGGTTAGTTTTAAGAAACGGTTGTAAATGCACCGGCTATGCAATCGGCAATCCTCGGCTGACTCCGCCTGGCTCCATTCAAACCTCGGATGTGATAGGTGGAATAATGTGCATCAAGTCAATACATTTCTCCGCCGGAAACTGCCTTGTCACTCATATCATATTTCTCTCTGCCTAAAGTTCTTTGAAAAGGCTTCTTTATTTTTGTAATTCCTCATGTTAATTACAACTAAAAGTTAGTAGTCTTTGAAAGCAAGAACATTGTGTAGGGCGTGCAACAAAGTAACTCGGATTTCGATAGTATAACATTTGAATGAAATTCAAATAAGATCACATGACTGAATCATCAAGTTGGTAGATCACCGTTAACGTCCGAGGTAATGTGCTAGGTACGAGCCATCCGAGGATCTCTGAGTGCCGGCTTTGTCGGTAAATGTAGTTTTATCGGTTAGTTTTAGGTGACGGTGGTAAATGTACTGTCTTTATCGTTTATAGTTTTGGGAAATGGCGGTAACTGTACCGGCTATGTCGGTAAATGTACTGTCTTTATCAGTTCTAGGTGACGGCGGTAAATGTACTGTCTTTATCGGTTAGTTTTAGGAAACGGTGGTAAATATACCGGCTATGTCAGTAAATGTACTGTCTTTATCGGTTAGTTTTAGGTGATGGCAGTAAATGTACTGTCTTAATCGGTTAGTTTTAGGAAATGGCGGAAAATGTACCAGCTATATCGGTAAATGTACTGTCTTGATCGGTTAGTTTTAGGAAACGGCGGTAAATGTACTGGCTTTATCGGTAAATGTACTGTCTTTATCGGTTAGTTTTAGGAAATGGCGGTAAATGTACCGGCTATATCGGGTACAAGGGACGAGTGTGTGGTGGTAATCTCCGATGTCTGAAGGGAAAGTGTGGATGTAAATCTCCACTGATCTTCAAAGGCGGCAAATGTGTAACAAGGCCTAAACGTGAGTTTTTAAGCAGATAACTACAAAACAAGTAAAAAATATTTTACTATCCCAGCAATTTATAGCCGACTTTATGTCATAAAGTATATTAATTGCAATTTTTTTTTTCATTTTGGGAACGCACAATATATCTGATTAAATGATAAGTAAAGTTATTTTTTGCTCATATCGGTGTGTCATGTTAATATAATAGAATGAAGAATATGCAAAAATTACTTCAATTAATACGTTTTATTGCTTTTGAAAAACAATGTTTCTCTTTAAAATAATGAACTCTTTAGGTAAACATTTTAGGCAAACTAGTCCATTTAGGATATGGATCAAAGATCTTGGGCTTCTATATTTGATATCAACAATTTGTGTTTTCATTAAATTTATTATGGATCAATATTCCTTATCCTCACTTTCTATATTTCATGTTTCAAGCAATGTCACTGAAACCACAACTAACACCCCCATTGTAAACTATATAATGTATTTTTAGCTCACCTGAGCTGAAAGCTTAAGTGGGCTTTTCTGATCACCCGTTGTCCGTCGTCCGTCTGTCCGCCCGTCCGCCTGTAAACTTTTCACATTTTCAAATTCTTCACAAGAACTACTGGGCCAATTTAAACCAAACTTAGTACAAAGCAACATTGGGGGAAGGGAAGCTTAAATTCTTAAAATGAAGGGCCCTAAAAGGGGAGATAATCAAGACAAAAATAGGGTGGGGTCATTAAAAAAATCTTCTTAAGAACCACTGAGCCAGAAAAGCTTAAAGTTATGTGGAAGCATCCTGGGGTAGTCTAGATTCTAATTGTTAAAAACATGACCCCCAGGGGTAGCGCGGGGTCACGATAGGGAATCCAAGTTTAACATTGAAATATGTACGATAAATCTTTTAGAAATCTTCTCAAGAAACCACTGGGTCAGAAAAGCTAAATGTTATGTGGAAGCATCCTAGGGTATTGTAGATTCTAAAGTGTTTAATGACCCCCGGGGGTAGGGCAGGGCCACAATAGGGAATCCAAGTTTATTAGCGATATCTTCTTCTGTTGCCAATCCTTGTTGTATTACTCAATAAGATATGTTTAAGTAAAGTAACACTGAAATATATAGGAGAAATCTTCTAAAGAATCACTTGGCCAGAAAAGCTGAAACTTATGTGGAAGGATTCTGGGGTAGTGTAAATTTTACATTCTCCAAATTATGAACCCAGGGGGTTGGACGGGGTCACGATGGTATTACAAAGGGGAAATCCGGTAGAGAATAACATGGCCAAAGTTACTAAGGAGAGCGTTGTGGCCCATGGGCCTCTTGTTATCTTTGTGCAGTTCCTCCATCATATGAAGCTGGGGGATTTGGGGGTGGCAGCGCCTATGGCGGCGGGGGACATCATGCTGGGTATGGTGCTCCTCCAAAATACAGCAGTTTTGGTTACGCGGCAGCCAAGGTGCGCGCTGGAGGATGTCCTTATGGTTGGAGTCCGTATCATGGAAGCTGTTATTACTTCAGTCGAGACAAGCTGTCGTGGTGGCAAGCTGAGGTAGTATTTTGGATAGGTTCAGAGATTACATGACTTTTAGCATAATAGAAACAATGCTGTGTGAACCTTGCTCATTCAAGTACGTGTACAACTAACAGTATGGTAAAATGTAATACACAAACAATTAATATCTATCCGTGACCTACATTATTCCTAGGTCAATATAGAACATCATAATTTTATTTATTGTTTTATATTTATTGGCAATGTACAGAAACATTCTTTCTTTTCTAAGATGAAATGTGCTAGCCAAGGAGGGTATCTCGTTATCGTGGATGCAGCTCATGAAAACTCCTTCATTCGTCGTTATTTGGCTGAATACAGAGGTATGTCCGAATTCTGAAAACCTCTATGTTTCTCTACTTTTGAGAAGAAGCTACAAGATACATGTATATATATGAACAACCAACTTATGTTGGTTGATAATCTTTCATTCAAAACATCAAATTCTATTTCACAGTAACCGGTGGAGCTTGGTTTGGTCTGAACGATTGTCTGTTCCCAAACAAACACCGATGGATCTGGGGATTTAGCAAGAAGAGGTGTCATAAGTTTGACTGGTATGGACAGGAACCAGTTTATCATGCCAAAGGAGACTGGAATTGTGGTGCATTCTGGGAAAGTTATCAGTATCACTGGCATGTTGATAGCTGTGCTCAGAGGAACTACTATGTCTGCGAAATGAAACTGGTATGACTTATGAATTTAATAATTCTTATAGCTTTACTTGACAATTAAAGATTATTCTGTATTGAAATGTACGTGCATGTACAATAAGATATTAATTTTAAGAAAGCCAGTGCATAAGTCTGCTAGTTATTTTGATATTTCAGTATTGCATTCAGATTTGTGTGTGTGTGTGTTTGATGATGTCATTTTGTAAATTTTGAATTTTACCGGGTGGGGATAAACGCAGAATTTAGAATGTGACAACCTTTTTCTAAATTTTGTTTTTACTCTCACCCAGTAAATACAATTTTAGAACATGACAATTGATTAAAAAAGACAAAAATCTCAACGAACCGAAAGAAACCCCGAAACTACCAAAAAATGGAGAAAAAACTTTCTTATATATGTATTTCTTCTTTTTTATTTCTTTTAGGGAAAACCATGCAGATGCCAGTACTAAATACCTCAAAAGACGTAAAATCAATGGGTAGTCATAAAATTGCCATTCAGTAAAATTCATGTATTTCTAAAAATTAGATATCTCAACTTTATAGTTTCAATTAAGAATAAATTGATTGGATTGTATTTTTTCTTTTATTATTTGATTGTATATTGTTTACGTCCATTTCAAATATTTTTGACCCAAATGAAAATTACAAAAAAGAATTGAAGCAGGGACTATCGATTATGAAACGAACGCACTACTACTAGGCTACAATAGCCTGGTGAATAGAAAAAAATCATTCGTATGACAACTCTTCACTCCTAGCGAACTTCAAATAAGAGTCAATACATAGTCAGTATGCAAGATTGGGATTCATACTCTGATATTTTACTGAATATTCACTAGAAAACATCATCTGAAAACTAAACTGCATGAAAAATGAGATCATGGTATCCTAAAAAATTTCCTCAGTCAACTGCATGTGGTATTTCTTACTCATAAGCAAACTTTATACCAAAACAGAATATATACTGAAAAATATTTTGATGTCTAAACGATTTCAACGATGTCGTTGAGGTCAGCATTATGCAAACGCTATGGTCTTCTTTTTTAAACATTCTAAGGAACTTTTGGATAATTTGTGATCAAATTATTTGACAATAGCTTTAAAACTTGACTTTTCAACTTTATATACACTATTCCCCACGATAAATTAAGGTCCAGGCTTTTTGATATCATTGACAGCTGTGTTATCAATAAAAATGGAACTCGTAAATGTATACTTACCATGTCACTGGTCATTTGCAAAAATATTTTGTTAAAGAACATTCTGATAGTACACATATGTACTCTGAAGTTAACATTAAAAGATGTTTAAGTTTCTGATTAACAAAATATATGGTGTTTTGGGAGATCAGGTCTTCCAACAATCTATTGCAAATCCAAAGGGTACCAATTGCGCTCCGTTGTTAGCAGACCTATTTATGTATTTATACGAGGGTTGATCCAAAAGTAATGTCACAACTTCGATAAAATTTCTCCTAGTCGACGTAAATTAACAAAATTTTACATGATGGAAGCTATATTTATTTTAAATCAGTCCTGAAAAATTCAAATCAAAATGATTTATACTTTTCAAAATATCGAATTTAACACAAAGTGCGATTATGGTAGTCGCCGCGCCTAAATAACGTCATAAAACGGATATGCGCCGTCACACACTTTTAAAAACGCCCTCCCATCGTTTTATTTAAAAAAAATGTTCGATATTCACAAAACATTCACATATTTTATTTTCTTTAAGAACAATTGGCACCAATTATACACTTTATCTATAATTCAATCCTTCATCAAAATTCTTTGAACAATACCATAAGACAAACTTAAAAGTGTCTCATATCACTCAAAGTGCCACTAATCTCTTTTACGACAACGTCGACGCTATTGAACATTTCCACCCGACCTCCTATCTTTCGGTATTTCTGTCCCCATATGATCATTTATTTACCTATTACCCGCCCAAAATCTCTTAAACCATCTATGAACAAGTCTCTCGTTGACATTCTTTCCTCTGCGAGTTTGATTTACCATCATAACTGTTTCTACTTGTGATTTCCTGATTTTGAAGGAAAAATACATTACAACTCGTCTCGGTGTTTTATTCCATTTTGACATTTCCTTTCTGCAATACATCAGATATAAACAATACTGTTTATGATGAAAAAAAAAACCAATGCTGCCATTTAATTTTTAACTAAAGATTAGAGAATGTCGTAAATTTTGTCTTGGAATAAAATAAATATTGGACGATAAGACGATTTTTTAGATACTTTTTTGAAATGTGTTTGTCTTTTTTCATTCTAACAATATCAACTTTAAAACGTGACGTTTTAGAGGTGACGCGGCGACACCCCCTATATTTAATGTTTTAAACATCTATAAAATGAATTCAATTGAACATTATTAAATGAAATTTTCAATTTTGATTAGATTTATGTTTATGCATCTTTTGGTGCATTATATTTGATAATATGACGCAAAATATTAAAGATATAGACACAGTGACATTACTTTTGGATCAACCCTCGTATGAAGCAGAATTTGTCCAAAATCTTATGTGTGAAAAGAAGAAAACACTTGCTGTGGCCTTCAACTCGACATTTAGATTGATTGACGACGTATTGTCAATTAACAATGGTAATTTCCATTCTTATGTAGATACGATATATCCCGGTGAGCTTGAGATAAAAGATACCACAGCGTCTGACACATATGTTTCATATTTGGATATTTTACTTGAAAAAGACTTTAATGTTAATCTAACAACCAAATTCTATGCTAAACGTGATAACTTTAACTTTTCTATCGTCAACTTCCCATACTCCTTCATCATCTGTACGCAGAGTTTATATATCTCTTTTGATTCGATACGCAAGAGCATGCTCTACGTATAAACAATTTCTAAGACGAGGTAAATTATTGACAAATACGTTGATGAAACAAGAGGATGAGCAGTCTCGTTTAAAGTCATCATTTCGTAAGTTCTATGGCCGTTACAATGACCGTGTCAGCAAATACAGTTTATCATTGAGTCAAATGCTGACTGATGTTTTTCATACTATTGTTAGTCCATTATTTATACACTGAATTGACGACGGATTTTTCCATTGTTTCCCGATCATTACAAGGAGCACACGGCGGATGTGACCGGTCGGCAGGCAATGCTCACTCCTCCATGGCAACTGATCCCACCGCTGATGTTCTGGAGGTCCGTGTTTGTTCTGCTCCAGTTCTGTATTGTTTTATGGGACTTTTGATCTTGAATACCGTTCGTTATCTCCATAAGTTTTATTAGTTTTTATTTCGCAAACACACTGTTTCATCGTGTCACATCAATGATTATGTTTTTATATTAAGTTTTACCTTTGAAATCCTTCATTCAGTACACTGTGTGTATATGTGACTAGTTTTCAAGGGATGCTTACCCATTCTCGGTACCTGTCCCTTCTCTCGTTTGTTATAGTGTTTCATGATTAAGCACTGCTCACGATGTTTACTTTCTAACTGGATCGATGGGCGGAACACTGACTAGATACTCATATTTTTAAAGTTATGAAAAATTACTTAAACCAAATAGAATTGGAATTTGTATTTTTTAAAAGAATGTTAATGGATCGAAAAAAATTTTGCAATGAAACATTAGGCATGATAAATTAAAAGAGGTATTGCAAATGTAGTGTTGCATAAAAATAATGTATTAAACATATACAAAATTCAGTTTAATTTAAGCAATAAACGGAAGAAACACATTTTATTATAAATCAATTTTTGTTTCTTTCTTTAAAATTGATATTAATATACATGCTTTTAAATAAATTAATTTATACGGGGATTGGGAGATGACAAATTCCGCCATTTAGGAATGGTGGTATTTGAGTTTGAGTTTGTCGATTGCATACAATAACATGTCTTGCAGAATCCACAAAGTCGTTTAAAATAATATAAATATTTTAATGGATGAACAAATCAGCATTCAGATGATCTAATTAATGAATAAAAAACAAGGGACAGATAATATTAAAATATTGTAAAATCGCAGAGGATCTGCAGAAATTACTCTATACATTATTGAAAGTTATCTCTTGGAACTTAACTGGTGTGCTGCATATTTTTATATCATTAACCTGCAATGAATATCTCCTTATATATGCTTATTATCATAAAATTGAAAAGATAATCTCAAAGTTGAAAAATAGAAATTTAATTATCTACACCATCTGTAGCATTATTATAAAGCAATGATTAATTCAGAAAGGGGGCGAAGTAGTATAAAAGTAAAAGTTGGGTCGATTATTTTAAAAGGCAAGAGTACAACATGATTTGTCTTCCAGTTTTGTATCTGGTATCGATAGCCAAAATAGGTAAGGTATTTTTGAGTTTTATAAAGTCCTCAAATATAAATTTTTATTTGATTAGACATGTATAATTAAATATAGAAAAATAAAATTGCAGAAATCAAGTTTGTAAAATCTCAAGTTTGTTGGTACACTTTTATAATTTTATATCCTATTGAATTCTATTTGGACGTTCCTCTTAAGCTTATTATCTGAATATCATGTTGTTAAATTTGAATTTACCAAGGAGATATAAATGCAAATTTTTTGTAAATTTTGTATTAACCCCCACCTAGTAAATTCAAAATTTACAACATGATATAAATACACTTAATATTCATGACTGTTGTTATACTTTATGTTTCGTTCTTGAAAAAATTATTAATTTCGACAAAGAAATATTCAAGTCTGGAAAAACAAATGAAATTCGGAAAATATTCAATTTTACTGAACACTTCCTTTATCTATCTTGGACAGGAAAAATATTCCTTTTATGTTTCGCATCTATAAGTTTACTACTTATTTAATGGGTAATAACATAGAAGCTATTTACATATATTTAAAACATATCAAAATATATCTCCCCGAATCATCGATGATGGGGGGGTATAAAAACTGAAAAATGTTTGTCATATTCAAAATTGCACTTTATATTTTATCAAACCCTACTCCTTTGACCTTTCAGCGGATGCGACTGCTGGAGCGGACTATTCCGGGGGAGTCTTAGGAACCGGATTACGTATGTATTTGAAATGACATTTGATTTTGAATGGCAGAGTATTTATTTATATTTCCCCTTATCATTATTTTGAAGGATAATATTAAAAGTAAAACATTTCAAATGCCCTTGTTTAGAGGTATGAGGGCTGTTCAATAAATTATGTCCTCGGTGCTCTATTTTAATTCAAACACATGTCTGTAACAATTTTATCTAATTCCTGATTGTCATTAGAACACATTATTGAGTATGACCCTTCGTATATTGGAATGTGGCAGATTCTATTATGTCCTGGACTTGTTTCTTCTTTCTGAGAGGTGTTTTTCAAGTTTGGAAAATGAAACAAGTCAAAGGGTGAAAGATCTGGGGAATATTATTTGTGAAACAAATATTAACCTTCTCTTTATTCCAAAAACTTCTTTACTCTTCAGGGCATGTAAGTTTGGACGCAGTCATGAAG